GTGAGAGCCTTCATGTCTCACCTGACCGCACGGAACAATCCAACTGCTGCCACAGGGATGGCTGGGGAGCCCGAGGCAAGACCAAGGGCCCTTCTGCCAACTGAGCCGCCTGGATGGCCCAAGAGTTCCGTGGTGAATCCAAGCTAAACAGCTTCTTTTATTCAGTCACTTAACAAATATTTATTATGTGCCCTGCCTTAGTGGTATTCTCTAGTGAGGAAGCCAAGAAAAACATTTCACATTGGACTTACTTAATTGATTGATTGTAAACTGTGATAAGAGCTTCAAGCAAACAGTCATGAGATAAAGGCACATCAGAAAAGGTGTGAGGCTGGGTTGGTCAGGAGAGGCATGCAAGAGAAAGAGGGACTTAGCGGACACCAGAAAGACAGGAGTCTGCCCTTGTAGAAAGAGAAGCCGGTATTCCAGGATAAAAGCTTCATGCACAAGGGGCCCAAACTGGAGAAAGTGTTCAGAAGCAGAAGATGCCAGGTTTGACTGGCAGGAACAAGTGATCAAGTGAGGAGAAAGTGGTGGAAGCTACTTTCCACTCCCAAAGATCACATTCTGAGGAACTTTCCGGGGCAGAGCTCTTATTATGCTGCTTGTAGCTGGAAGCTCTAAGGAAAGGAAATGGCATGGAGATAGAGCCTCCCTGCCCTGAAGTGGGACTCTGCAAAGTCTCAGTCTCCACAATGCTCTGGCAGAAATGTGCTTTGACGCACACTGACGGTACTAGATTGTTGCAAGACAAAGTGGACGTCAAGCCTGCCTCTCCTGAGCCCCTGACACTTCACCTAATTATTCAGGATGTCTGCTAAGGTTCTCTCAGTTCTGGCAGGACCATCCACAAAGAAGATGATTTCTTCAGACTAGCTGGTTGTACAAGCCCAGGCAACTCACTAACATGCTCAAATTAAACAGAAGCTGTGTGAGAACTTGATTTGTAAATTACTAAGTTCAAGAGTGACAACCACCTATATTTTTATTTCCTAGGTCAAAGACAGGGCAAACGGGGAAAGGATTTGAGGCTTTTTTAATTGATGGCAATGGAAGTAAGGCCCCAGGAGACACAGAACTAAAATAAGAATTATTTGTTAACAGGAAAAAAATATTCTTATGCTCTTTTGTTTCAATTTTAGCATCCAACAGAGTATTTCCTCTGTAAGGCAAGGAAGTGGGAGAGGGGTGTTGAAAAATATCTACCTCACATTTTCTATAATTTTGAATGGACACTTTAATAAACACACAGGGGACTACCAGACTCTTCACGTGTATCAGCTGAAGGACTAAATGAACCCAGTCTGAATGATGTTATACATTCACGTTCTACCCAGCTGGTTGTGTTATGAATTTCACAGATAATTCATAAGTAAAAAATTTTTTATCAAAAAAAATTTTTTTATCCATTTTTTACATGACTCTCTGGAATCACTATCATCTGCCTTTTTCCTTCAATAACTTTCTCACATGCACTTTCAAAGGATCATTTAAAATGACCATTTCCCTTTCAAACCCTCCTCTACTCAAATAAGGTCACATGTATGTTAATTTGCAACATTCAACAAAGTCTCTGAAGAGAGAAATACTGTGTAGAGAAGAGGGATGCCGGTTTGAGCCCACGGAGAGTTAAATTAATACGCTGGCTTGACCAGTTCCACTTCCCGTACATCTTCATTTGCCAAGCAACACAATCTATAGCCAACTGCTAACCAAGTCAATATGTGGTAAGACTAACAGCCACCCTAACTTGCCTTGATAATTATTCTCCTTTAACTGACATAATATTCAATACACTGTTGTTGAGAGCCATAATGATAAAATTGATGCCTTCAGGGCTACAAGACAATTGAGTTTTAGCCAGATAAAACAATTGGTGCCTAACAGAGCATTTTGGGGTTACACAATCTTCAGATACACAGTTCACACTCCAATTGTATGAGAATGCTGTATAGAAATATATTCAATGTTCTTTGTGCATATCTATTTTAGCATATATGATTTTTGAAGAATGGTTGCTACTAATCTAGTATTTCTGTATTAGAATAAGAGTGTACTATTATAGGTGTTTAATTTTGGTGCTTTTATTTTAAGTGAGCAAATCTGGTTGCCCTTTAACTTTTTTGCTCTTTTTCTAAGGAAGAAAAAAAAGAACAAAATGGTTTTCACAAAGAAACAGTAGATGATAAATGTTGAATGACAAAAAAAATCATTTAAATAAAATCTATAAGACATCAATTCTATCAATATAACAAGACAAGCTAAATCTAGAATTCTTCTAACATAAAACTCATGTATGATTTTCTCAAAATGTCAATTCTGACTCTGGAGAGCGACATTTAAACTGTATTTCTGAACCTGAGATTTCACCAAAATTCATCCTATGAGTGAAGATGCATCATAATTTAAGATTAACGGTAAGTGGCAAAGCTCTTTACACAGAACAACTTACCTCTCCAAATGAGAGGTTTTAATTTAGGGTGCTGCTGAATTTCCTTTCAGTTAATATGCTTTGCAGCTTTATATTAAGACTGTCATAAAAAAAGAATTTTTAAGGAACTATTATGAAAAGAGTACATTTTCTATATTTTCCTTGGAGATGTTGAAATGTTCAGGGGGAAAAAAGAAGCATGAAAATATTACTGGAAATAAAATAAAGAGCAGTTACAGGTCAAGGCAAAGAAGGAGAACAGCGCTAGAAAATCCCACAGGTTTTCTGTTTACTGCTGTCAAAATGCGACTGTGAGCTGTGAGCTGGGTGGGGAAGAGCAAATCAGCAGTCATTCATGCACATGTCTATTTGTTTGGACAGAAAAAGACAATGCAAATGCTCCAAGTACCTTAGGGAAAAAAATACGCATGTGGGAGTGGAACACACAACTGCGGTGTTGGAACTGAGCAGCAGAGTAAAAGCAGGGAAGCTGGAACTGAACTGGGACAAAACATTTCCGTTTTATTAAGCATACTGAGCCTCATTCAGAAAGCTCTAAGCAGGTTATTCCTAGGAGTAGGGTAAAATCCATCCTAAGTGGACATCAACTACCACATTGCAGGCATGACTGCAGAGATGCTGTGGAAGTTGTCTCTGAACCGGCACCATCAGCAACTGTGAAGCTGCCTCTGTGGTGGCTTACTCATCCTTGACCCTACCTCCCAGACCTTGTGCCCTCACCATATCCCCTGACCACCCAGGACTTCTTTTCCCACTCACCCACTGAAATGCCCCGATCCTGAGGCAAATGAGATAATGCTTGTGAAAATGCAGTTCTGTAAACGGAAAACGTAATACATAATTAGTCCCTATCATCATCCCTGTTTTCTTTTGAGGGCCAAGTTTTCCGAGCTTTCCAAGTCGACAACTCACTAAGATAAGAAGTTATTTTGTGCTAAACTGGTCCTGAGGTGGACAGGAGATTCCTTTTCTCAACTTCTACTCACCATCTCTTCCCGACTTTCCTGTCCTGGTGAACACAGGAACACTCCCCCGGTGTTCCTTGCATGGGACAATGATGGGGAAGTGTGTGTTTTATTCCAACTTTAAAGGGGGGCAGGTAGAAGAAGAAAATTGCAAGGAAGGTTTGAGGCTGCCCCCTCATCATACACCAAGCTGAGAAAGCAAACCCTTCATAAAACACAAGGGCGGTATCACAGGAACGCACCCCTTCCTACAGGACTTCCTAAACCAGGAAGGCGCAAACAGAAACAACTGCTTCTGGTTCTTTCTTCTTCTTCTGGTTCCTTAGCAAATGTCAACATTTGCTTGAGATCCTACCTTCTCAAATTTGAGCCTCCTTTAGGGTAAACGGTTAAACCACAGGCAAGTCTTTTTAGAACTTGATGTTCCCAAATCCAAGACAGGCAACTATAAAATATTTCAGATGCAAAGGACACAATGCACAATGATACATGATAGACAGAAGTAACAGGCAAACACCTCAGGAGGTGATAGGAAGCCTATGCCTCTCAGCCTAGGCTCCCATCAGACAAGAAGTGCCATTGTCAGAGGTGGGAGGGCAGGCTGGGGAAGGAGGCATGGAGGCAGATACCTGTAAGCCATGTCTGACTGCTTCAGAACATTGAATTCTGAAGGTTGTGACCCTCATAGAGTCAATGAGGGCAGATGAGCTGTCAAGCAAGGGTTTATGTTAGTTACAATTTTTCCTTTGATTGGGAGGAAGAAAGAATCGTTATGGGACTTGAAAAGCAGGAAAACACAACATCTACAAATTACGTGGTGACAAAAAACACAACATCTACAAATTACGTGGTGACAAAAAGCTCTAAATTATGTATACTGCATTGAAACAGATGAGGGAGAAAACTGATTAGGTATTTTTGTCATGACGGTAGTCCAGAGCGAAGGCTGCATAGTGGAATGGACCTGGGGGGAGGGATTGTATAACACTGAAAGAATTTTTTTTTTTACTTTTCAAAGAGAAGAAGGAACTGGAGGGGAGAGTGGGCAGGGAGAAAAGTGCAACAATGAATGAATGGAAATCCAAAATCTCTGTAAATTTTCATTAATAGTAACAATAATAGCTCTAAAGAACACCAATCTCAGAAAGTCATATGCTTGTTACCCACCTTGGAAGCCTTACTCTTGTTTTTGTTGTGCCATTGAACTGACTAGGGCTTAGATAGCAAACCTGTGACTAACAGAATCTGCACCTTGCTCTATTCTCACTCTTCATAGGGCCAAAATCAGACCTGTTCAGAGGTCAGAAAGCCACACTGGTGGTGGAGAGTTGACTTTTAAGAGGTGCAAACTCACGTTAACACTTATCAACAAATCACTTTGCCCCTCCTAATCCTTACATGGGAGCCGTCCTGTCTACTTGAACATCTGTCCGCCACTCCAGTTCCCTGAGCCCCCTAGCTATGACCACTTAACCAGAGGCAGTGTGTGCCGTGTCCATGAGGGGCAGGAAAGAGACTGAGTTTACCAGCGACTGGTGCCCACCCCCGCCCAGGGCTGGCTGCGTCCGCCATCCTCCCCCTACCTGAAGGATGTATCCCCGCACGTAGTCTCGCAGCGTCCAGCCCAGGCCGTGAAGGATGTGCAGCACCTCCTCCTGCTTGAGGACGCTGAAGAGACGGTCCAGCAGGATCTTTAGCCGCACAGGCACCGCCTGCGTCCCGTAGAGCATCAGGCTGCTGATGTCGAACACCACGTTGGACTGAACAATCTCCACCTGGGTGGGGTGGTACAGGTGCTGCGTGCTGAGTTTATCCAGGGCTGAGTGATCCCACCAATTTCCAGAGGCAGAGGGGGTGAGACAGAGAGGGAGAGAAAAGAAACAGACACCAGTTACTGGAAGTTACTGGAGCCGCATGGCTGACGGAGGACGACCATGGAGGTTTAAACATTCCAATGTGACCACCCTCTTCCTACTCCCTACTTCCCTCTTTTCCAGAAGTGCAAACTACAGAAAATACAAAACATATTCAACAAGCAGAGTCACTTAGTTTTAAGCAGCTATGGCTGCATCTAAAATCCCGATTATTTAAATTGCTAACTGAATATGGTGCAACCCCAGTTCCTGGGTGCCCTTCCTCCTACCAAAACCAATCCTCAACATAAGTCACAGAAAGAAGCCCAATTAATCTAAGTTTACCAAAGACGACCCATGAGAACCTTCATGAGAAATGAAAAGGTTTTTATTACACTATAGGGTTGCTGCTTTTGAATTCTGCCCTCTAATTCTGACTAAATCAACCCCTGTTAAGTGCCTTATAGGGTTCCCTATGCTATCACAAGGGGGACTTGTGGCAAATCTATGGGGAGCTGCACAGCTAACCTGAAGGCTGTGCTATTTTGTCAGATGACATCACCAGTAACTCCTCCAGGGAAAGATGGGTAATCTCCTCCAGTCTGATTTACAGCCTCAGAAATCCAAAGGAGTGTCAACTAGGAGGAGGTTCCCACTCCCAGAGTCATGCTGTTGTTAGGAGCCATTGAGTCAAGTACAACTCACTGCAACCATATGAACAACAGACCTGAACCCTGTCCTCTCCTGAGCCATCCACCCCATCTCTGACACACCCGAACTCACTGGGAAGAGGCACTGTGTCAATCTACTTTGTTGAGGGTCGTCTTCTCTTTTGCCAAACTTTTCCTTTGCCAAGTGTGAGGTTCCTCTCCCAAGAATAGTCTCTCCGAGCAACACGCCCAAAGTATGTGTAAGGAAGCATCATCATCCTTGTCTCTAAGGAGCTCTGACTGCACTTTCTCCAAGACATAACTGTTTGTTCTTTTGACAGTCCACGGGGTATTTAGCACTCTTCTGGAACAACATAACTCAAAGCCATCAATTCTTCTTCTGTCATCCTTATTCGCTGGTAATTAAAAATTCCAGGCTTGGCGAGCAATTCATTGATGATCATCAAAACTGACTGATACAGTAATGAGGTGAGAAATTGTACCATAAAGGCATTCCTGGTGATTATGGGGCCCCAGCGTGTTAAAAAGCTAATCATGATGCCCCACATCTCCAGCAGTTTGATGCCACTCATTACTCCTTAGGAGAATGACGGGCAGTGTCTTCCCCTTAAGATCTATGTACAGGACTGGAAACCTGGTGGCTCATTAGCCAGGGGTCACATGTGTTGAGGAGACTACAATATAATCTTTACACAAGCAAATCACCACCTTTTCTTCCACAGAGAGCCTGGTGGGTTCAAATTGCTGACTTTTTTTTAGTCACAGAGGCTTAACCATTGGGCCACTAGGGGCCATTAGGGGCAAAAGATTTTAGTTCAGGAAATAAGGAAAGCTGACATCACTGTGGTGGCTGAGAATTTTGGCACAGCTAAATTGGCTAACGGAAATATCAGGATTTGGTTCTCCTGATTTTCTGCCTTGGTGCCCACTTTTAAATATTCTTCTTGTTCTCTGGCATGGTGGGGACGGAGGTTACTCAAGAAAAGAAAATTCAAGTCCTAACTTAGACACTTTATCAACACCCTTGAACAAAGGTTGGTTATCACTTAAAAATGAGGGTAAACAATGAAAATAAAAATTTAGTAATTTCAGGGGAGCTCTGGTGGCCTAGTGGCAAGGAACTGCAACTACAATCCCAGAGGCGCACGGTACAAATCCACCATGCTCTGCTGGGGAAGGAGGGACAATCTCCTCCTGTACCAGTCAGATCTGATTTGACGGTACACTCACACAAAAATAATAAAAAAAATTAACAAAAAAACACAACAAAAAACAAAACAAAACAAAATTTAGTAATTTCTATGTATTTCAGTAACGCTTTTCTGAAAATTTAGGACTGATCATTCTCAGAATAAATATTTTTTATTAAATGAGCATCTGAGAAATTGTGATTTTTTTCTCTCTCTCTCCTCCATCGAATTCCAACTCTCTCCCTACAACTGGAAACCAAGGAGGGTCTGAAGCTCTGAACATATCTGAACTACTCAGATCTTGTACATAATTCTGCCTCTTTTTCTTTTAAAGTGAACCAAGAATGTAATATTGTCTCATCAAAAATATGATGCAAAGATTAGCACTAAAATGAATTAGAGTACTTGCAACTCCTTGAAAGAACGCCAGAGACTAAGAAGCTAGAGCTGTCAGAAATGCACAGCCATGCTCTTCTGGAGATGAGGTAAGATAAACACCTGCGGTGGAAGGGTGACCATCTAACTTCAAGAATCTGGTGAATGAGTGTCAGACTACACGGAAGCCCAGGACAGAAGAGCAGCCAAGATTTTCCACAAATCCTAAACAACTACCAACTGCTTTTCCTAAAAATATTATCAGGTAACAGGATGGGCTACAGTACAAACACATGCTTTCGGCAACTCCAATTTTAATGCACCGGTATTTCTGCATAATAGTGTAGATATTTAAATGCATAATAATGTAGATATTTAAAAGTGCACGCACACTTATTTCCAGTATTTCAAATGTATTTTTTTTCAGGGCTCCTCCTCCACTCTCATTTCCTCCTGACTGGTGGACACTAGAGAGTCCATGTACTCTTGATAAATTGCTTTCTTAAATCCACAGTGTAAAGGCCCTTATCATTTACCCGCTGGCTTCATTCAACACATTTCCTCCCAGGAATACTTTGTCAAAGAGTTCGGGTTTCCTCATACTTCATTTCTTGCAGCTGATTTGTCTGATCTTTCCTATTCTAGTGGTTAAGTCAACTTTGAATAAATAGCCTTAAAAATTAATTTAACATTTGGGAAAGATAAGGAATTCACTAGCCTAGGGATTGAAGTCTTCTTTAACTCCACAGGGCATTTAGGCAGCAGAAAAGCAGGAAAGAGGTATTATCATCCCTGTTCTTCTTTAAGAACAGCTTCACTACTCAGCTTTCTGCAGAGTAACTACTCTGCTTATAGAATCAAGTGACCATATCAGGGGAAATCACAACAACCAGAGTCTGCTCCTCCCTTCATGTCCCATTTCAACACAAAAGGCACTGTTAGAACCATGGAAAATAGGAACTCAGAAGGGTTCAGTAAAAGGAAGGAAGATGACACAAAATCAAGACTGTTGATGTAGATGTTTGGCACCTTGCACTCCTGCACTGAGCATTGGCAAGTCTGCATACACAGACATTCAAATGCTAGTTAAACTCTGTGAGCTTTCTCTTTCCAGCTCCTTATAAATATCTGAGTATATCAGAGTGAGGCCTGGAAAACTAATATGCCCTAGACCACAGGCAACAGCCTCTGTTTTAAGAATGGACAAGTGATCGAAATCTGAACAATAGAGACGGAATTCCGTATATGGTTAAAATGAAAGCATTTCCTCTGCTCTGAATCTAATATGTATGCTTACGAACACAGCCAACATGAGGCAGAACTGTACTGGAAAAACAAGTGCTCACAACATCTTTTGATCTATAAGATCTGGCAGTGCCTGAGGCTGGTACTATCCCTGGACTTTGTAGTTATGTAAGTTAACAAAAGCTCTCTCATTTCACTTTCTGCCCCAACTTCCTCATAGTAAGTGGGATAATATACCTGGAAATTATAATTTAAAAAGCCCTAATACATTGATTAACTAATACATTCATAACTAATGATTGTTTGGCTTCACAATCAACACTCTTGGTGCCAGCCCAGGAAAACAAAAGACGAATTGCACCAGGAAAGTCTGCTGTCAGGGACCTCTCCAGAGTACTGAATGATGGCAATGATGCCAGTCTAGAGCCTAACCTAAGGCGCATCTGATCCAGGCCATAGTCTTTGAAATTACTTGCTGTGTACCAGAGAGGTAGAAAATGACTAGGGATGACAGAAGAAGAATCAATACCTTTGAGTTGTGGTGCTGGAGAAGAGTATTGAATATATCACAGACTGCGAAGAGAACAAACAGGTCTGTCCTGGAGAGAGTAAAACCAGGCTGCTCCTTTAAGGCAAAAATTTTAAAATTTCATCTCATACTTTGGGCGTGTTACAAGGAGGGAGCAGTCCTTGGAGAAGGACATCACGCTTGGAAGAGTAGAGGGACAGCACAAGAGAAGAAGGTCCTGAGTGGGATGGACTAAGTGACTGGAGTAATAAATGGGGCTAGAGGTGTCAGAGACAATGAAATTGGCTCAAGATAGAGCAGGGTTCAGAGCTGCTGGACATAGGGTTCCTATAAGTCGAAGTAGACTATGTGACATATAACAACAACAATAACAAACAACAAATACAAGAAGGCATGAGGTTTGAATCCATTGACTGCTCCATGAGAGACCGTTGGTCAATCTCATCCCGTGTGATTCACTGCCTGTGAAACCGCACAGGGCCAGCTATGGATCAGTCCTGACTTGCCAGCACACCACCACCACCATCACAGCAACAGTTACTCACATACGGCATCCCGGGGGGCCTAGTGACTAAGGAGTTGTATTGTCAATGCAAAGAGAGGTGACTGAATTTACCACTTGCTTTTAAGGAGAAAGATGAGCAATCTGCTCCTGTGTGCTTTCTGTCTTCTGAAAACTCACTAAAGGGATTAGCTATGAGTTAGTTCAAACTGGATGGAACGATACAACAGTATTACAATAATACAACAAAGAGTCCTGGTGACATAGTCGTTAATCAGTAGGCTATTAAGGGAAAGGTCAATGGTTTGAACCCACCACATACTCTATTGGAGACAGAAATAGCAGAATGCTTCGGAAAAGCAGCAGCCTGGGAGACCTATGAGGCAGTTCTTTTCAACACATAGAGAACTGGTTCACTGCAAGTCAGAATCAACAGTGTACAACAAAAACTACC